ATCATGATGTATAAATCTGCGAAATTATTATTTTTAAAATTGTCAGTAATGCTTTTAACTAGTTAATTAGTTTATTCTTTTAGTTGAGTTTATTAGTTTATTACATTCATACATGTATGGTAATAAAACATTGAATAAATGTAATGAAAGTGTCCAATTCACTCTGTTGCTATGGTAACAACAAGTAGCAAAACGATCCGCTGTAAACAAGAGAATTCTTTAGGAAATGTTACATTTTGACCATTTAACTGACATGTATTCTTTTTAAAATTTGGCGACAGAAAATAATTTGGATTGTGTTATATTATGTTGTCATAAGGGCAATTGTTAATCAGGGGCGCAGCAAGCTCTCAGCCGGGGGGGGGGGGGGGGGGGGGGTGGTTCGACACAAATTTTTTCTAAAGATTTTGTTTAATTTTACAAAAATTGATGCAACTTCCTTCAAAACTGAGCTAGAAGCTTTGAGTCAAATGCATTTTAAAACTCTTCTTCTGTCTAATGGTTCTATTTTTATTGGTTACAGGGGGGTGCACTCATTACACCCCCTGGCTATGCCTATGTTAGCTATGGTAACCAGGTGAATATGCCGTCCCCATTTTTCACGACATTTCCAAAGTTTTGCTGCTATCTTTGTCATCATGATAGCTCTGGTGTATATGAAATTTTCATCAAATTGAAGCTAAGTCATTTTGCTTCAAGTCATTTTTTGCAGACATCTTTTGAATTTTTTCACAGGAAAGGGCCCAATGTCCCTCAAATATATCAGTCCATAGGCCATTGGGGGACCACAGGGGTCTACTAGGATGCATTTGGGGGCCACGGGGGTCCACTGAATACGTTTGGGGCTTTGGGGCCACCAGGATGCTTTTAGGGGTCACAGGGAGCCACCAGGGTGTTTTTGATGGCCATGAGGAGCCATTTGCATGCTTCTGGCGGCCTCAGGGGGCCACTAGGGTGGTTTTAGGGGCCACTTGGGTCCAATAGGATGCTTTCAAGGGCAACTTGGATGCTATTAGGGGGCATAATGGGGCCCTAAAATGATTTTGGGATCCACAGGGGCCCATTGGAGTGCTTTTAGAGGCCACCTCGGGCCACTGAGATGCTTTTTGGGGTCACAGGGGGCCAATAGGATGTTTTCGGGGGCCACTAGGATGCTTTTAGGGGACATAATGAGGCCACTTGGATGCTTTTTGGGCCACTGGGTGTCACTAGTATGCTTTTTGGGGGCCACTGGGGCGGCAAATGGGAAGCTTTTTGGGCCACTGGGGACCACTAGAATGATTTTAGGGCCCATTGAAGTGCTTTTAGAGGCCACCTGGGGCCACTGAGATGCTTTTTGGGACTACAGGGGGCCAATGGGATGCTTTCGGGGCCACTAAGATGCTTTTAGGGGGCATAGTGGGGCCACTTGGATGCTTTTTTGGGCCACTGGGTGTCACGAGTATGCTTTTTGGGGGCCACTAAAATGATTTTGGGGTCCACAGGGGCCCATTGGAGTGCTTTTAGAGGCCACCTGGGGCCACTGAGATGCTTTTTGGGGTCCCAGGGGGCCAATATGATGCTTTCGGGGGCCACTAGGATGCTTTTAGGGGGCATAATGGGGCCACTTGGATGCTTTTTGGACCACTGGGTGTCACTAGTATGCTTTTTGGGGGCCACTGGGGCGGCAAATGGGAAGCTTTTTGGGCCACTGGGGACCACTAGAATGATTTTAGGGCCCATTGAAGTGCTTTTAGAGGCCACCTGGGGCCACTGAGATGCTTTTTTGGACCACAGGGGGCCAATGGGATGCTTTCGGGGCCACTAGGATGCTTTTAGGGGTCATATTGGGGCCACTTGGATGCTTTTTGGGCCACTGGGTGTCACTAGTATGCTTTTTGGGGGCCACTGGCGGGGGAAATTGGAAGCTTTTGGGGCCACTGGGGGCAACTAGAATGATTTTAAGGTCCACATGGGGCTTTTAGAGGCCACTGAGGTGCTTTTTGGGGCCACAGGGGTCTATAGGATGCTTTCGGGGGCCACTAGGATTCTTTTAGGGGGCATAATGGGGCCACTTGGATGCTTTTTTGGGCCACTGGGTGTCACTAGTATGCTTTTTGGGGTCACTAGGGGGCAACTGGGAAGCTTTTGAGGCCTCTAGAATGAGTTTGGGGCCATTGGAGTGCTTTTAGAGGCCACTTGGGGCCACTGAGATGCTTTTCGGGGCAACGTTTTGGGGCCACAGGGGGCCACTGGGTTGATGTCATGGGTCACAGATGGGTACTAGGATACTTTTGAGGGCCTCATAGCAGCACTAATTTGTTTTTTTGGGGCCACTGGGGACAACTAGGATGCTTTTGAGGACCACATGGGGCCACTATGATGCTTTTGGGGGGCATCTGGGGGCTTTTGGGATGCTTTTTGGGGCATCTGGGGGCCACTAGAATGATTTTGGGAGTCATAGGAGCCCCATGTATGCTTAGGGGGGCCACAGGGGCAACTAGAATGCTTTTGGGGGCCACTTTGGGGCACTGGGGTGCTTTGTCAAATGTCACTGGGGCCTATTTAGTATTGAATTATAACAAACAGACTAAGTTTAAGTTAATGACAGTGTAAAATTACATGTTTGCTAAAGTTATCATATGATATTATTATAAATAGGTTTTACAACCAAGAAATCACAACCTCTTAACCCAAAATGTTATCATGGGCACTTGTGTCTATGTCCCGTATTTGGGATGCCTCTAGAACAAAAACTAATTTTTTCTTAGTTATGCTACCCAGGTTAGAAAAACATAAAAATTATTCAAAAAATACTAATGCATTCAATATATAAGCACTTGTGCAAAAGGGAAAGGACCAAAAGTTGTAATGGAGAAAAAGCAAACTCTAAGTGTATACCAGTCAAGAAAAACAAACCCCATATAGGCCAAAACCATGATCTAACGTGAAAAGAAACAATGTCTAATACCCCCTTTCCCCCACCATTTAAGAACCAAAGACCAGAAGACCAAGGGACATTTCATTCATACTGAAGTCATTACAATACATGTTGAAGAAAAAATTAGAAATTGATAGCCAATACTCATAACCTCAAAAATAGTTATTATAGTTAATAGTTAATGCCAATCTGTTGTCATTATTGGGTTAAAATGCTTTTGACTTGAAGCTTCTACCCCCCCCCTCCGACTGAAAGCTGGCTGCACCCCTGATTAATAATTGCCCTTATGACATAATAGTATAACACAATCCAAATTAAATAATTTTCTATAGTTATTAGATTATTTTTTCATCAAATTTTAAAAAGAATACATGTCAGTCAACTGGTCAAAATGTAACATTTCCTAAAGAATTCTTGTTTACAGTGAACAGTTTTGCTACATGATGTTACCATAGCAACAGTGTGAATTGATAATTTTTTATTTGAATTAGACTTCTTTCATTACATTTATTCAATTTTCTATGAACATAAATGTATGAATGAAATAAGCTTATAAAACAACTACAAGAAATAAACTAGTTGAAAGCATTACTGACCATTTGAAAGACAGTAATTTAACAGAGTTATACATCATGATTAAGATAAAATATGCAAGAGCAAACAGTTATGACGTCATAATTAAGATGCAAATCACCCTAATTGCATATTTTATCAAATATATGATTGCTTTATCTATTACCTTTCATTTGGTGCAAATTTCATCTAAAGCTGAGCAATAATGACGAAGATATGGGCCAAACACTGAAAAGAGCCCCTAAAAGTGGGTGTGGCATATTTACTTTGTTACCATAGTGACGCTGCCTCGGATTCAGAATTGCCAACTTAATATATTTTGATTGCATTATCTATTACCTTTCGTTTGGTGTGAATTTCATCGAAATCTGAGCAATAATGAAGGAGATAGGGGCCAAACACTGAAAAGAGCCCCTAAAAGTGGGCGTGGCATATTCACTTGGTTACCATAGCAACGCCGTCGCGGATCCAGAATTGCCAACATCATTTTTCTTGGTAAGTATCACGTATAGTTCATAAAAATGTATGTCGCTAAGCTCGCCTCTAAAAAGGACACGGAACCTCTCATTTGGACTTTTGCTCCCAGACTATGAGCTTGCTTCTGACTGTCTGTAACCAGGTAACACGATAATCTATCGTAGTAAAATAGCAAATTCAAATTACCGTAGGTCGCTTGAAGAAAATAAAAGTAATTATTTCAAAAGATATTCAATAAATCAACATTTGTTAAAATAAGAATAAGTGCATGAATTGTAAATCATGTGAAGTATTTGACAATTCATGACATTAAAATAGACAATACAAATAAATAAAGCTTGTAACTACACTATGTATAGCAGTATGATCTAGCTTATCAAAATTTCAGATCATTCGCGTCTTTTTAGAAGTAAAAAGGAATGAATTAACAATTAATGAAAGCCGGGTATAATCAGATTTTGACTACAATGTGTACATGCTACATGTTTGATATACAAGTATGGTAATCAAACCACCTTCTCTTTAAGAAACTCATGATGAAATGAACCGTGAAATGAACCGTATTTATTTCTCTCTCGATCACAATGAAAAACATATACCCAATCAAGCAAGACAAACATAACAAGTGCATCTTCCCTTTATCATTGAACGCCTTTCTACATTTGACAGAGAAAATATGTGATAACTTATATTAATTCTAGCAGTCTTGGAGATTCTCAGAGTCTTGTTTAATTAACAGTAACACCCTTGAAGGGATGGTGTACTTGCTGCATTATGAATAATTTAGATTACTCCTGGTTCCTCCATGTAATTAACGTCCATGACTTGTTATTAGGGGTATTTTGGGTGGAAGTATCGATCCAATTAGAAGTAAAACGGACCTTCTAAGTACCATTTGTCTCATATATTAAAAAAGTCAAACTGCTTATTTTGTGTGATTGATTTGCTAGATGCATACATGCTAAGAATAGTATATACATACATTAGGTTTTCATTGCGTGTGTACTGGTCATGAAGTGCTCATTATCTCAAGAACTATACATTCATCAAATGTAACAATTGATGACTAAAAGTTGAAATGTCAAATGATACATCTTCTTGCGGCAGTGGCAGAAATAGCGTTAAAAGAATCGTTACCGCGTTACTTTGTTAGAACCTCGAAGACAACATGGAATCAATTTGAACCACTGATTTTAGCAAATTCTCAATTACAGAAAGCATGTTCAATTTGAAGCAAATTTGAATTCTTACTGTCATTCCCACTAAGAATAACACTATCACTCGCTATTGCTTACATATTTAGGGGTATTCCCAACATCATTAACAATGATACATCATCCATGACAACTATGTTAGATGTAATGTTATCATTGAGCATATTACAACGCTCAGTATAAATTGACTAGTCAATCAATTTTCAAGAATGAGTTTCCAAAAAGCTTCTACCATGTTAGAGTAGGCCCAAATGTAACAGCTTTATTAAGTTAACTTGGCTGCGCTAAATCTTAACCCTTATATTGTCTATTGAGGTTTAAGAAGACACGTCATATCTAATGAAGCAATGAAATAAAGGTTCTATTGAACACATCAAGCAATCCAAAAAGGATAATCATATAGTCTATATAGTTGCAGTTTATAAATTTAATTATATAAATGTATAATATGGAAGTTGATGCTTCAAAGCAACTGACTCTACAATTAACTCTACATATGAGCAATGGTCAAAATGGTGGATAAGAACTGTAACTTTACAGCTTTTCTACCTGATGTCATGTAAATAGTACATAGTGAATCAACTACCTTTCATCATATATATTATTTTCAGCATATATATAATTAAACCTGTATACATTCTCTATAATCATGTATGGGCTTGAGGAAATCATTTCTTCGCGTCCACGCTATAATTGAAAGTGGTAAATAAGTGCATGACAGGAATATTTGTCATATCACATAATCTGATAAAAGTGATGATAATAGTAATAGAAAACCAATATGAAATACTAGTAATTCAAGTTAAGTCATGCAATTCCTTTTCGATCCACCGATTCACGGGTCCTCATGATAATAATTCATCCCGGGGTCAATGCCATAAGAGTAGTACTTTCACGCATGGGTTATCAGCCCCCTTCAACATATCACATATTTAATTTTTAGTTTTATTGCAGAAATTGCCCAAAGTCATTAATTCTCTCCCTTTATAGTGATAAATTACATAAGGATGCCCCGTTGATCCTGTTAAGCTACAAAAAGTTAATTAAAAAAGAAAGTAGACCCATGCAAAACATTTGGTTAATCAGTACACTTCTACAAGTTTCTGAGCCGTTGATATTTAGGGAGTGCAACATGGCACCACTCTAAATACACATTATAGAAGCTAACTGACAACATTGTCATCATACCAATATGTATTAATTATTTAGGTAGGTAGGTAGGTAGCCTACAATAAATCGATCATTTCTTGTCATATCACCCCGACTTCAATGGCTCTGTTGAGTGATCTGAAAGGACAGACAATTTAGAATGGGTATATTCCATCTCTAAGCTTGCTATGTAGGTGTTCCATTGAAGTGCTAGCATTGTAAATAATTGAGTTTAAAACATTCCTTTGACACTTCAATTTCCTGGTTTTACTTATTTCTCGTGTGGCTGTAAAATGTGCTGAAGTTTGCAACAATAACAGGAACAGGAAGTGATAAAGCTAATACCCCTGATATGACACAGACACTACCTATCAGTTTTCCCCATACTCCAAGTGGAACTACGTCACCATATCCAACCGTTGTCATAGTAACAACAGCCCACCAGAAGCCATGAGGAATGCTGGGAAACTGGGAATCTGGATTCATGAATTCAGCATAATACACTGCAGCAGAAAACAACACCATTGAGACTATGAGGAAGAATAAAAACATTCCTAACTCTCGAAGACTTGCCTTGATGGTTAAGCCCAGTATGCGTAATCCAGCTGAATGTTTAGAGAGTTTAAAAACTCTGAAAACTCGAAGTACTCGCAGGAAGAGTACTGACTTGTTTCCACTAGCCTGATCACAACTATCCATTGTAACTAAAGTGGCGATTGTCATGAAGTACGGTAAAATTGCTATCAAGTCGAACGCGTTCAGAATGTTTTTGGCAAAATCTATCTTCGAAGGGCAAGAAATGAAACGCATTATTAGTTCTATAGTAAACCAGAACACACATATTGTTTCAACAATAAAAAACGGGTTTGTGTAATCTGGAAGTCCTTTTAGTTCTCCATCGATTGTTACATTGACGCACAATCCATCTTTAAATTGAGGTAGTGTCTCTACACAGAATGCAATGATGGATATAACGATAATGACCACTGATATTGTACCTACGATCTTGGCCATTAATGAACTATTCGGATCCTCAAAGACCAAAAATATGTTACGTTTCCAGCCAATTTCTGGAAGCACCTCCTCTTCGACCTGATAGCCTTCACCCCGTTTGTAATTCTCAATTACGTCATTTGGGAGTTCATAGAACTCAAGTTCATCCATCCAGACGTCTTCTGGCACCTCGAATGGTTTTCTTAGCCAGCCCCCACTTTGATAAAAGTAAAGGATTGCTTGAAAAGTGGGTCGATGGTGATCTAGAAAGTACTCATGCCGTCTAGAATCCCAAAAGTGGTGTCGCTTTTCAGGATCACCTAATAATGATTGAGGATACCTTCCCAATGTTCGGAGCTGAGTTTCGAATCTTTGACCACTGACGTTTATGATAACTCGTTGACACCCTGAACTTTCACAGTCATGGTAATCAATGTCAAACGGATCAACATATGATGGAGCGATGCTTTCTAGTTCATCCAGTAAAATGCTTTCACGTTTCTTTAGATTTGGTGAGTCGGCTGATGACCTATTGTGATGGTAGTCATGATGATGATGTTGTCGATTGCGGGAAAAGTTGCCTATTCCTGACTTGAAATAGGACATAAAATTTCCCATACCTCGTCTTCCTCGTCCAAACATGTCTCCGCCTCGACCACTGGGACCACTTCCAAAGGGGTGAAGCATATGCATTGCAAGATCTGCAAGAATTGCTCTACTAGAGAAGTTAAGGATATGATGAATTTAAATTACATCTTCCAAACTGTAAAGTATGACTACCATTATTCGATCCAATTTTAATATTTTTATGTCACTATTTAACAATTATCTGAGTCCCAGTTGTATCTAATTTTAGTTTTGGTGTGTTTTTAGTATTCCAAAGCTTTGTCGACGCAGACTGCATTTAAAACCAAGGTTTGTCTGTTCTATTGTTTTTCCTGATAACTGCTGCATAGGTTAATATATTTTTAGTTATTTATGAGTCCATTGAGACTATTCAGAATTCGGAAGAATACTAAATTGAATTTGAAATCTCTAATGAACCATTTCTTTCTTCCAAAGTCTCAAGGAGGCCGCAAATGCCATAGCAAATTGAACAAGTCCTCTGATAGGTCCTCTTCTCTATATTCGTAATACTAGTGTGAGCATATCCATCTTTCAGTCTCATGAGACTTGATTTACAGATGCTACCCTCCTCTGAATAGTGCCAAATCATAGTTTTTCACCATGTGGATCTGAAACAAAAAGCATAAGCATTCAATATTGATGCCATTATTGACGATCTAACGCACTGCATAATGTCACATGTTGTCTCTGATTTTATTTCCATGTGATTTATGGTACATACTCAAGGCATTATATGTCTCCCATTTTCAATTATATGTCTTCCATTTTCAAATTGGTAAATATCGAGATTCCTTGACATATACATGTATAGCTGCAAATCTCAACTTTCCCATTTAAATCATTCTATACTCATTTGAAATCATATTCTATTTTTTTATCAGATAATACTTTGAGGAAGCAATGCCATCTTAGATCTAGGTAACCACTGCAATATTGTTAACAAGATGAATGGAGAGAAGGTTGCATCATTCGTAATTTCCTATCTTAAACGCCAAGATAAGAAGACTATTCCCCTCTAAATGAATAACCTTTATATTATTGATGACACATGGTTATTGGAGGTGGGAACATGGTAGATCAAAGTTAATTTACATTGAAAATTTATAACAACTGCAATGATTGACCTCATTTGGGTTTCTATAATTGGCTTTGGGGATTTCAATTATATTTGCATTTCCAGTTGCTATCTACTAAATTCTGATAGACTGACGTTCCGAATTAGGTTCAGGATTCACAAGGGTATGCATTAATGTTTGCATATTGTACAATCCCTTCCAAACGTTTAATAACACAAATCCTCTATTGAACTACATGTCGGGACTTTTTATCCTTCTTGCGATGTTAGAAAATCATCAAATTCGTCGTACATATTTGACCAAATTTACCTGGAGAAAATAATATAAAATAAAGATAACCAGGCTTCAACATACTACTCCAACGGGGAATCGTGGTTGTCAAACATTTGGAGGGGGTGTGCCAGAGCCTTTGGAAAAGTATAATAAAAGCAAACTCAGATAATCGTATCGAATCGCTACCAATTCAAGAAACGTCTCGTCAATGCTCTTCCGGAGTTTCGTCTCGAGAATTTAGCTATAGTAGCTATACCAGATATACAAAACTGTATTTTTGATTGATAGATCTCTTGATTTCAATATGAATGTAATGGTAAATCAGATTTATAGTCTTAAAATAAATATAGAAGGGGACTTTGGGTTGGTATTTAGCTATTTTATTACAAATTAGTCTCCAAGAGACCCAACTCCATCTGATTTAGGATACTCGAAAGAGGTATTAATATGCAAATTATGGAGAAGTGTATGTCCGGTTGTCCCTGGTCTAATCTACATTTATTGAACCATAAAAATCGGTAGTCGATATAATAATGTAGTACCCCAGACTAAAAGCTGTTCCCGCTCACATTTCCTCATATTCTAGCACTCTCCCACACCTCCATCTTAGTGAAACTTGGGTATGCTTATTCTTTGGTATATTTGTGAAATTGCTACATTTACTTTAGTATGAATTTATTTTGTTTTGTTTTGTTTTACTACGTAAGCATCTTGAGGTGTGGGAGTGGTAGACATAGTTTTCTGGCATGTAAATCGTGGGATATTGGAGGTTTGTTTTATGACTGATTACCCTCCTATCCATATTTGTTTAACATCTGACATTGTGTTTATGTATTTTGCATACTATCACATTTTCTGTAGTTTTGTTTTGTGATGTGTCCAGATGCGTTGTACTTTTATTTTGGTACGTGTTTTCTTGTGTCACGTTGTGTGTTTTATTAAGTTGTCTTGTTCTGTGTTTTTGTTGTATATAATGTACTTCTCGTTCATTTGACAAAATAAATTGACCTATAATATTTTGTAGTAATCCTGCAAAGGGTTGTTTTGAGGAGCACATTGGAGTAATTGTTCATTGCCATTCCAATTTTTCCATATCAGTTCTATCAATATTTGACGCTACCTTTGTGAATTGTTTTGGGCTCAGGGGGTCTTAATTTAGGCAATGGCGCATCTGGAGTACCTAATAAAATTACTTGGAGAAGATCTGATGGCTTTTACAAGACTCCTCCAGGGATGGTTGCCCGTATTCCAAAGCCTTGATAAAATCTTATCTGTTTTCTTTCTCATGTTCTGTGATAATTTGTATGGAGCATTACGTCAAATGCCCCTTTCTCCCAAGCAATTACCGTCCCTCGTGGAGCCATATCTTCACCTATGCAGGAACTTATGGTAGTGTACCAATTTTAGGAGATGGTACTTACAATGTTTAAGTGAAATGATTATTGTTAAAATGTGTCTCTTCGGTGAAATATTTTGCCTTGAAATGGCATTCGCGTTTAGTTATAACAAAAATGATAAGATATTGAGTAGTTCTTGTAATAATATACCATATCCGGAGTATGACTTCGTTTTAAAAAGGAGCTTCATCTAGACTCTTCAAGAAAGAGACAATCGTTTGTTTTAGCTCGTCAAATCAAAATTTAGCTACCCGATCGGGTAATCGCGAATATCATGTCTTCATGAGAAGCTGGCAAGTTAGATATTATCAGGATGAACACTAAAATTGTCCTAGTCGGGGGAGGGGGTAAGAATTATCCTTTGGGGCCCAGGATAGGAATGAAGCATATCAAAGTGTGGTGCTGTGTGATGGTTCTGTACATATGACCAAATAAAACGTAGTTACCTTTAGTTATTTCACGTCTCTTGTAAAATGTCATGTTTTTATAATTGTTTCCTTTAGTGATTACCTCGACGAGTTATGCTGACCGAACTTATAACTGCCAGACATGTCGTTGCTCTTCAACACATTTCGAAATGATCAAATATTAATATATATGCGTGTCTGAATTGAAAAACATAAATCAATTCTCCCGAACAATTTTGGAATAAATGTTATTACACCAAATTGATTACAGAAAAATGCGATGGCTTTGAGTTCATATATGTCCATTAGAAATGTTCTTGTACCAATAAAATATATTAAGACAGATTAGACCAACCTGGGATGATCGATAATATTGCAAATGTGAATAGATACTTCCAAGCGAGTGGCGAGTTTTTACCAGAAAAAGCTGGTATGGTATCCACGGTGGGAAACCACAACGCACCGGAGATCGACCCCCGGTGTCTCCTACCTTGGTCCCGGAGCATTAGATTTCAAATATAACGCTCCGTCCTTCCAAAATGGCGGATAAGGATTTTTCCTTTTAATGAAAAAAGTTGGAAACAAGAGATGAGTGAATCTCTGATAATACGTTCCATTCTAAACACGATATATCTGGATACCTTTTAATAATTCCAAAAAGTTGTTACATATCAGGACGGAATTGTAAATGTACCTTGAGAAATTTAATATTTCTTGTCAATGAGATCATTACGACAGCAACATATTTCTAACGTATATTTTGGTAAATCTAATAGTCTTGAAACCCTACAATCCAAGCATTGTAAATGTATCATTTCAACATTTCAAATGTGCCTTCACAATTCCCAAATTAAAAGGATATAGAACCTTGTGACTTCCTAACATAGAAACTAATATCAACATTTACATTACATTGACACTGGTGATCCACTCGATTACGCTGGTTACCAAAACGGTTCGTTTTGGTAACAAAATGTCGGAACATCCGGAAGGTACGATTTTCTCGTTTCCTTATTTTACACGTTGTATGCAGAATTACCACGACATTTTCTAACACAAACGTGTATCAGTATCATATGTTTAAGAAATTGTACATATTTGCGAACAAATAGTTCAGAAGACAACAGAATCGTCGATTTACTTCCTCACTTAAGTTACATAAACGGTTTGGGTTAAAAGTTTTTAAAAATTTAGATCTTTACTGTTTTTCGAAAAACCGTTTATGTAACTTAAGTGAGGAAGTAAATCGACGATTCTGTTGTCCTCTGAGCTATTTTTTCGCAAACATGTACATTTTCTAAAACATATGATACTGCTGCACGTTGTGAGAAAAAACGTCGTGGGGATTCTGCCTACAACGCGTGAAATAAGGAAAAAGAAAAATCGTGCCTTCGACGTTCCGACATTTTGTTACCAAAACGGTTCGTTTTGGTAACCAGCGTAATCGAGTGGATCACCAGTGATTGACATACTGCTTTAATATTATATTGACGTTGTTGTCTTTCTACGTTGATTTTCAAAATATGCATCAATATTTTTTGTTTTGTTTTATTGCATTGTCTGTTCTTTCATGTCTTTTGTGACCCCCTTACATAGTACCCTTTGCATTCGTTCGACCTTGCTTCTTAAAAGAGAGCTTTGTCGGTAGTCTATAACTAGACCCGGCGCGCAGGGTAAACATAGTAACTTGGATAACTTTTACATCACGTTGACATCTGCTGAAATATTGACGTTGTCGTCTGTTCTACTTTGACTTTCAAAAATATGAATTAAGATTGTATATTGCATTACCTGGACTATCATAAACTAGGATAAGATGTAAATTGAATTGATATCTGCTTAAATATATTAACGTTGTCGTCTACTCTACTTTGACAAAAAGTATATATCAAGACTATGTGTATATTACATTTGCATCCACGTTGCATGGTTACTTGCCTGATAGAATAGAATGGAATAAGATACTATTAGAGCATGTGGTTTCCACTTTGATATGCATACACATGCATCAACAACCTTGACAACAGCCGACAACAGTAGCGTGTATATACCTCTTATCCCCACACCCCCACGATGAGATCAACGTTGGCGTGATTCATCTTCTGACCCATCAAGCAAAGCTCATGAATTATTCTGATAAATAGAGGAATGTTATAAAATGTTACACACTGCCTGCTAAGAATGATTGAAACGTTATTCAAATGTAGATCAACTTGGTTCGATCATATGTCGTGTATTGGTATATAATCAATTGTGATTGCCTCATCACAAGTTTAAAGTGACTTCGTTTCTAATACTGATTAGTCTCAGACAGTGCCTTGTTAATGATCAAATGAGAATGGATTCCAATGTCGATCTTAAACATTAAGCCATTACACGAGCCTTGACTTATCAAGCAAAACTGTACACGATCTACAAAAGGCAGTTTCTGTCATTCTGATATTGTACAACCTCATCATGTTTTTACTTTATGTGACGATCTTTAACTTCATAATAAATTGATTGGTATGTGTGATATGTTTTGAAATTATCGAAGTACCACATGAGCGACATTTTCATGGTTGGTTATTGTATAGAAAATACGGTTTAATTAAAAAATCTGTTGATGTTGCAAGTTACATATCATTAATGATAAAAACAGCTGGGGTAATTTATATTATAGGATCAGAATTACTCATACTTGTCCATTCAGTTTGAATATACATGCAATCTACGTTTTCAGAAGTATATATGATCTAGACATTCAAAATGCACAAGTGTGGAATTTTGGAAAACACAAACACAAACAAACGTGCAATGCTTAATGAAACATATTTATAATTTCGATTGACTTATATTTTAGAGCCCTTTCCAAATGAAATCTGACAAAATAATGCATTAAGTAGTATGTATGTATGAAGATGTTTTTTGCAATTTATCTCAACAATATCCTATACAGAACCAAACATTTATAGTGCAACAATATATCCAAATACATGTATACAAATATTATGTATTTGACCTAGGAACACTAACAATTGCAAACTACTTACATTTCATGCCATACCAATCCTCTCCTCTTTTCTTTATTGTTCATACAGCTATGTTCATTGAAACTTCGAATGAATTGGGCATAATCTCCATAAATTATTCATTTGAATTATCTTTGCGTTTCAATTGCTCTTGGGAAAAGTGCCCTCCACACCGGGTTGTGCAAATTAGATTACACAGAGATGTTAGGCAGTTTAATTACATCAAAGGAAGAATGAGGTCGTTATCCTGGGATAGCTAAATTTATCCCTGTCATTCACAACCCGTAGTTACAAATAATGCAAGATATATTTTATTGTCATATCGCATATGCATAGGAGTGTATCTTGCACATTTTCGTAATCTTCTTGTTTCGCAGTCTAAATATTTACCAGACACTTTTGTTAAACATGGAAATGGGTTTATATCCAGATAGACACTGAACTATTTCGACTGTCATCATTCATTATAGTTAAGTTATCCATTATTTCATATAATTCACTTATCTATTTCTATAATTTTCTTTCCACGCTGATTCACAACTTTTATTTTAATTTAGTAGATATGACTACCATCCATTTAGTTTGAAGAATTAGATCTAGGATATTTTGACTTTCAACCAGAATATCCATCTTCTTGAATACCAAGGTATGAATTAGTTTTAAATTGATTGAAAATCTAACTGGCAAGCGAGCATGCAGAATGTCCCCTCGGATGAAATGGTCGGTTCCCAACGGACTGACCATTCCCTATAGTTAATACATAGTAACCTGGCCAGAACAAGTCATGCCTCTCTATTTTCTCAATAACTTTCTTAATTTTGAATATTTTTTCATGAAATTTTCACAGAATAAACTGTAAAGAATTCCTAACATACAAATTTTTTATATGATAAATGCCTCATTAATTTCATTGTTACAACCTTTTAAAAAATAATGTCATATTCTGGTGATGGGTCATTTTTGTCGCCATTTTTTCTAAAAAGATACGAAAAATCTAAATTACATTTTGTCCTCATAGGGTCTACAAATTTGATTGCAGTCTTTGATAGGGGATCATTTATCTTTTTTAGTGTTCTAAATCCACCATACTATTTCAAGACATCATGATCTCAAGCCTCTATACTGCTCGTCCCATAAAAGGCATTACTACTCGCCTATTGTCATACTTGCTGGAGATAAAAGATGCTTTCAAATGGCGACAAAAATGACCCATCAACAGAATATGACATTATTTTTTAAAAGGTTGTAACAATGAAATTAATGAGGCATTTACCATATAAAAAATTTGTATGTTAGGAATTCTTTAAAGTTTATTCTGTGAAAATTTCATGAAAAAATATTCAAAATTGAGAAAGTTATTGAGAAAATAGAGAGGCATGACTTGTTCTGGCCAGGCTACTAGTATTAGAATTCTCGATATATCTGAATAAATGAAACTCAAAGTCGATCAAATAGCTAATCTATTTCATTTAGTTTACTCCACTTTAATTAGATGGCAATCCTAAAAAAATGTACGTTAATAACGCAATAAAAAAGCAATAACATAAAATACAATCCGAAATCATCAATTATGATTGTTTAAGTGAATGTCATTAAGATAGAAATATATATATTGTTATATTGATACGAAGCAATTTAAAATTACTTCATGTCAGAACTCGTGATATATTGGAATCATATAAAATTAAAACAGGGTGAGCCAAATAACATACATTCTTTAATTCGACTTTTCAAAGATATATAAAATGTCTCTGGACTTTTTGATTTAAATAGGGTAGACCAATGTCCAATTTTTTGTATTATGTACGTACACTCCACTCCATAAGTTTGGCAACCTTAGCTCCCCCATTGAACTACGTGTTAAAGCCTCTTTACGTTTGAATTTTTATTCACTTAACCTGCAATGAAATAACTTATAATATTGATGGAAACGTGATTTAATTTCCAATACCTTCAAATTTTCCCATTTTTTCCTCGATTACAATATGTCAAAAATTGATGCTAAATTTGATGAATTTTTGAAAATCGTCATTCCCATGTTATTTAGTCAGTATTCTAGGTCCCATACTGTCTCCCCTCCCTCCATTTTTTGATATTTCAATTCTTCAAATTTACCAAATTACATATCTCGATCAAGATCAAGGAAAGGTATTTACAAACGGTTCTTGTCCTGGTAGATCTTATATACATCTTTCACATTTATCACCCTTTTCTGGCTAACAAAATGTTATGTGTTGTTTTTATTGAAAAAGTAAAAGATACTCAAAAAATCCCCCCTATTACGTTGACCTAGTTTTGATCTCATTTGACCTACCTTTTGAGATTTTAATACACCCCCCTCGACAGTTTTAGATGACTTGTAATATGGTACTTTAGTTTTTATAGTAACTTTTGAAACGCCGGGGGTCATCTCTTAGTGTTATGGAAAATACGCTGCTCGCATTAGGGTTATATTTCTGATGAAAAGTGATGCATTTGGGGTGTATGGAGACCAATAAAGAAGATTACATGGCCTGGTTCAACTCCAGGAAAAACAGAAGGGATTGAGTAGGCTGAATTCTGGATGAAATATAATATTTTTTCTTGATCAGGAAGATTAGCCAAAAGTTCAGTCAAAAAGGACATTGAAAATTTTTTGAAAAAATTTCCGCTAGTGTTTGCGCTTCGTCATGCATCTTACTAATCTTCCTTACCACAAACAAGATCTTGGAATAGCTTTCCCTGTGCAGGCAGATTTTCCCAAATAACCCGGATTTTGATGCTGAATCAGTTTTTCTTCATCTTACTTATTTGTCCTATGATACTCAGGATATTCCATTTTTGTCTCCAAATAATTTCAAATTACTATTTCTTGTATAGGGAACACCATACCACGTGTGTTTAACTGAATAATATATCAATAATGGTACTATTATTTGAGGCATAACTAATTTTTTCCATTTCAATGTTTGTATCCCTTCTTTCTGAAATTTTTATCGAAATCCACGCACTTTCTAAAAAGTTGTAGCGCAATTAAACGTTTTTTTGGCCAACACTGTGTGTTGATATTTTATTGTAAACAAGATATTTTTTATATCTAGCAAGTCAAAGAAACTCTATTAAGCAGTTAACCATCTATTAATGTCTATATGTACAATATCTTACCAAAATGATTTATTTGGACATTACTACATAGATTCACAGGTTAGTTGATAACAGCAGTACTATGCTTGATAAAGGTACAAAATTGTGTGTTTTGATAAATGGTACATCCCCAAAAAAGTACAGAAACAAATATGGTTGGCAGAAAAAAACATGAAAGATAATTTACTTTAATAATGTAACCTCCATGTGTTTTTGTATGAGTCAGGATGTTGAGATTATACTTTGATATGGGTATTTCTAATGGAATAAAGAAATAGTAGTCAGAATATAAATTTATAGAAATCCCCATAAGAGATTGGTAATTGCACTCCGATAAGCAGATGATCTATCTATAGCAAAACTATGTTCCCATAAGGTATTGATCCCCGCATGGAGCTTTAAAAGGATAGGATCATCCTGTCAAGTATTCTTGCTGATTATGGTATTTTGTTTATTCTTCAAAGAATTAGATCTTCCAATCAACTCTTTTTGGGATATTTCAAATGTATACCTCTAAAAATTGTATTTTCTACAAAAGCCAAAGGGTTTGATGACTGACAAATGTGTTCAAGCAAGTTCAGATATCCGAGGAATTTGTTATACACCAATATCTGTACTAGAATTTTTGGTTTAATAAATAGAGGTTATTTAATGGAAGGAATGGTATATGAATTTTATTTTTTATTTTTTTTATTAAGAAATATTTATTGCTTCATAAAAATATCATAATATAAATCCCTTCAGTCGCCCGAAGGCATTATAGAAGGGTACATTAATAGCACAAAATACAAAATTATGATTAGGTCAAGGGGTTCACTCTGCACTTGTGGTTGGCCATGGGGTGGAAATATTAAGTGTGGATAATATAAAATAAAGTATAGTATATATAGTATGTAGGGAGGGGAAAACGTTATAGGTTCATTTCAATGAATTCAGCGATTGAGGTTTGGAGATGTGAATTTAGATCAAGGGAAATATTGTCAGAGCCATGTTTCATTAAGTAAAGGAGATCATTCTGAGTTAAATGTTTATCTGATAGTCCAGTTATATTAATAATATCAGTTTTTAATTTTGTTATCTTTTCTTTAATAAGGGGACACTGAAAGAAGAAGTGTTTTTCTGTCTGGGGGGCTCCACATTTACAGTTTGGATTCTCAACATAAGTAAAGTTGTGAGCATAAAGTTGGGCTTTGAAAAGAAGATCAGCTCTAAATTGGTTAATCAAAATTTCATGAGATCTTTTTAGATTGAGTTTGGAGGTGCTAATAAAACTTTCTTGGTTTTTAAACAAAATCTTTTGGTGTTTTTTAAAGGATTGGAGAGTTTTCAAATTACGTAATCGTTTTGGTAGTCGTGACCAGTTTGATATTGCTGATGGAACTGATGAATTCAAGAACCTCTTTGAGCACCTGGTTGGTAAATTAAAGTCAGATCTATCACGCAGATTGCGTGTTCCCTGATTTTTGAATTTATCAAAAATTTCATCTAAAAAGAGTGGATTTGGACCATTTACAACTTTAAACATAAAGTTGTTAATTTGCATTGTTCTTCTTGTGTCTAGAGAAGGCCATTGAAGGAGATTCAAAACTTTATCAGTATTACTGCCATGAAGACAACCAGAGCACAAAAGAGCAGCCCGATAATAAATTTGATCAAGTCTATTTAGAAGACATTTTGATGCAGTGTTAAAAATAGCAGTACCATAATCAAAATGAGGTCTTATAAATGAGTTGAAAAGCGTTTCCAGATCTCTTGAGTTTAACTTTGTTTTAAGGTTCTTCAGGGGATTAATCATTTTCCTAACTTTATTATATATTTCTTCAATATGGTTTTGATTGGTCAGATTATGATCAAAAGTATATCCAAGGTGTTTATGTACATTTGTTCTTTCAATTTCAGAGTCACTTAGAAAGGATTTGCTTACATTTTCAGGATTTGCTCTAACTCCATGGAAAATAACTTCACAGCTCTTTTCTGGTTTAAATTGTAA